TCACACTCTGGGCTTTTCTTGTTGCTCTCTTTCTAATTACGTATTTTAAGTTGAAGAGTTAGATAATTTATTACCAGTGTTTCTTGTTTTTGGAGGTAGGCCTATAATGCTATGCACTTCCCGTTCAGGACGGTTTTCACTGTGTCCCATAGATTTTGGATTGTTGTGTTTTCATTGTCATTTGTTTCCAGGAAGTTTTTAATTTCTTCTTTGATCTCTTTGGTAACCCAACTATATACTTTTTGATTAGACTGTGGTAACAGATTTGTGACATGGCCTTAGTTAGTATTTCCTGCTTGTCTCTAAAAAAACAGCATTTTTCTCCTTCACATTCTCATCGATATTAGATGTGTTTTTATATTATAAGCATGAGTAGTCACAAGTTGAAAGTATGTATTTAGCTTTGGAATCAATCATTTTTAGGATGTTAAGTACCTTTGGTGGCAGTTTAAAATTATTTCTAGATTTATGATAAATTTAAAATTGTTAGCATTCGTTTAGATACACATATACATTTTAATTTTTAAAAGCTATTTAGGTATTACACGCTTGTCTGCTGATGGGAATGATCCAGTAGAAAAGGAATAAATGATGGTGTACAATAGAATGAATAACTGTTGAACATTTGTTAGTGAATCCCAACTTGACAGTCCTTCAGGACCTCTTGAACATGCTTTTGAGAGACTTCAATTTTTATGGAAAGCACATACACTTAGATGAATGCATTTGAAATTGGACCAAAAACTCAAAAACTATTCAGGTATAGCATGTATTGGCATTATGTTCAATGGATTGTCATGTTTTCTTAGGTTGCCAGCCGAGTGCAGAAGTATTTCATAAAACTAACTAAAGCTGGCATTCCAGTCCCAGGCAGAACACCAAACTTATATATATACTCCAAAAAGGTAAGAAGAGAATATATGAAAATAAATCTTAGATCAGAGATTAAACTCATCAAAGTCAGAATTGCTATGTAAAGATGTATACATTTATTAGAACGAACTTGTTTAATTTTTAAAAGTTCACTTACTCTAAGCATTTTGTTATATTGAGCATAAACACAGGGCAGGATTCCATGATTGCTACTCAGTTTAATTGAGAGAGCTTTAATGATGTTTGTTCATTATTTTCTTTGGAGTAGGTTAACTTATGTGAATGAATGCTGCTCGAAATATTTTATTTTATATTGAATGTGTCACAAAGGCCTTTGTGATGTTAAAGTTTTTAAGATTTTGACACTTTAATAAACACTATCAGTTTCCAGTTTTTAGATATGCTACTTAAATCCAAGAATAGAAATGTTTAAGATATTTTATTTGATCCTCACTGTCATTCTAGAAGTGTAAGTAATATCACCTTCACTTTACTGGTAATGATGTTAGTAGCTAGCTGTTATTCTCATGATTGAATGCTCTGGGCCAGGTACTGTTGTACAGTGTTTTTATAGACGAGACAAGTAGGCCTTACAATATGTTGGGTAGATTGTCTACTCACATTACTATTAAATCTGGGAACCACTGATCCTCTGATTCTGATCTCAAGTCATTTCCACTGTTGTTCTCTGGTTGTCTCCACAGTGAAAAAGCTACTGTCCCTTTCCTACATAGCACATTGCATCAAATTGTAGCCAGGGTTGTTGTTTTGCTTTAATTACAAAAAATAAAGCACCTAATGACCTAATTTCATTTCCTTAGTAAATCATCCTGGTACTTCTCCTCCTCCACTACTGCCATCCTTCATATAAAGAGAAGCTAAAAGCATATTAATGCTGTTGCTCTTTTTTTTATTGAAGCTATACATTTTGTTTTTATTCTTTGTACCAAGTTTTGGAAGCTTATTTTAACTTATCAGTTGTTTAAAATATTCTGGATTTTGTTTTCCCCTAAATATTAGCATTACCTATATTAGATATGTAGAATTTACCCTGTAACTTTGGAGTGTTGGAACCTTGATAACCAACGTTCAACTTAACAGCTCTAATTTTTATGGCTAGTTTCTAAGTTAATCTTAGATGTGTTGTGTACCTTTTTTTTCCCCACATCTACGACTAGATGGTGATAAAAAAGAAGTACTAGAGAAACCTAAATGTGTTCCTTCCTCTGAGTGCAAAGAAGTTTAAGTTATCAGACATTTTTACTGTAGAGATCTAGCCCAGCCATAGACACAATGATTCCTTGCCATGATTAGACTTTGAATTTTCAAAAATAAAATAATGGTTCTGTGTTTAGCTGAGGCTATTATTCTTTGTGACCAGTGAAGAGAGGCATTCTGTGTAGTGGCTTAGAGTGAGGGCTCTGGCCTCCCACAGGCCTAGTTTGTGATACTGGTTCTACCACTATCTCCTGCAATACCTTGCACAGCAGCTTAACCTCTTTGTGCCTCCATTTCTTGATCTTAAATTAGAGGTGGTAATAATGGCTTTATAGGACTGAGGTAAGGATTAAATGAGGTTGGCATAGAGTAAGCAGTCAGTCAGTGTTAGGTTCCATTTTCAGACATTCACCATGTTGTGGAAATTTTCCTTTTACTTGATAGTTTTATATCTGGCTAAGGCTACTTCATCTTCCCTGATCTTCTATGAGGATTGTAAGAGGAGTTCAGTTCAGCATTTGAGTGTCAAGAGTGATAAATACTGGTGATACAAATATAAGCTAGATAATGAGCATGTGATCCTGTTATTTGGGTACTCCCCTTCCATGTCTCTTTTTTTGTTTTTTAAAGGTAAATTGTGCTTTAAAAATCCAGTTAATGTAGGTAAAGCAGCTGCATAGGAGTGTGATGAATGATAGAAGTGAGCCCTAGCTGGTTTGGCTCAGTGGATAGAGCATTGGCCCTCAGACTAATGGGTCCCAGGTTCAATTCCAGTCAAGGGCACATACCTCAGTTGCAGGCTCTAGCCCTGGCCCTGGACCAGGCCCCAGCGGGAGGCAACCAGTTGATGTTTCTTTCTGTCTGTTTCTCCCTCTCCCTTCCACTCTCTCTAAAAATCAGTGGAAAAACATCCTTGGGTGAGGATTAACAACAACAGTAAAAAAATAGTAGAAGTAAAATCCTTCTAATAGACTTGTGGGAAGTAACATTTATATTTTTATCTTCTTGGTTATTTTAATGATTTTCCACTGTTCCAACTAAAAATTTGTTTTCTCATTTAGTCTTCAACAAGCAGACGACAGCACCCTCTTAATAAGCATCTCTTTAAACCTTCCACTTTTATGACTTCCCACGAACCACCAGTGTATATGGATGAAGATGATGACCGATCTTGTTTTCATAGCCACATGAGCACTGCTATCGAGGAGGCATCAGTAAGTTAACTGTTTTTACTACAGGTGTATATTTGTCTATGCACTTACACATTAGGGCCCAAACAAGCACACCAGGATTTTCTCATTATTCCTACTCTTTGGAGAATGAGGGTTTCTTTTCTGTTTTTAATTAACAAGTCAAATTTATGGGTCTTTTATTACATTGTGTTTAATTTTTTTAAGTAACTGAAATAGAAGAGGATAATAAATCCATATTCACCTATCATCTAACTTTAACAATTATCAATTTATGGAAATCTTGTTTTTATCTATACTTCCTACCCATCCCAACTTTGTCACAAATTATTTCAGAGAAAATCCTAGACATTACACAGTTTCATTATGTTTGTAAAGGTAATTCTTTATATGATCAAATATACATTCTGTTCACATTTCCCCAATCATAAATTGCAATAGGTTCTCCCCTCTCCCCTTCTTTTTTCTCTCTTACTTTTGTTGTTGTTGTTGTTGGTAGTGAAAAACTGGGTCATTTGTCTTGTAGAATTTACCATTGTGTGGATATTATTGTGTGCATCATCCTGGTGTCATTTAACCTGTTTCTCTGTTCCCTGAATTTCCAGTGAATTTATAGGTCTAGCTAGTTGATCAGACTAAGATTTGTTAAGGTGGGCAGGACTATTTCATTTGTACTTTCATCCGTTTGATCATCTCTCTTTTTTTCTTTTTGACATAGCCATTGCTTTTTGCCTAGATCCATTAATTCATTAAATGTTACAAAATAGTGATATTCTTTCTTTTCTTCTTTATTTATTTGATTATCCTACATTCAGGAAAAGGCAGTATAGCTGCTGGGGGAGAGTAAGGGAAGTAGAAAGAGACACAATAAAACTGTTCACACTGGTTATTTGAGGCCAGGGGAGTAGGTTGGAAGGAGTATTGTTAATTAAAAAAAAAAAATGTATGGATACCTTTACTCTTTGCTTATTATAGTGAGCACTTACTACTTTAGTAATTTGAAGAAAAAAAACACCTTGACATAAATCTAGTCCTGGCCACCACCATGAACACTTGATAATTTTAGAACAACACAGACCACTGCTTAGTTCTTCCCTTTATTTTGTTTTTAAAATACTGAGTTTATTCTCTACTATCTTCCAAAAATGAATGAGATTTTAAAAGTTTGTATTCTTAAAAACTGTTGGATTTAAATATATTTAATATGTTTTAGTCCATTGACAGTTGTAACCTATTCAAGTTGGATTTTGAATTCTTTTGACAAGACTCCAGTAGTCTTTGATAGCTTCCTTACTGTTTGGTATGATAAGGAAGTTCTGGGCTCTTTTTGTATATTTCCTACCTCAGGCCTAGCATCAGTCTTGCTTTCTTTTATTGGGAAATAGTATTAGTAAACTATATCCTGACTCCAGAAATGTTATTTGCTACTTGGTTGATCATTGTTTCTAGGCCTGTTTAATGGCAAGAGCTGGGAAGTATATTTTTGTTCAAAGATAAAACACATCATAAGTTTATATTTTTATTGCAAATACAACTTCACTATGGGAATTTTACTTTCCCTCGTTAATCTTAATATATAGCTTCTTTCTCCCGTTTTGAAAACCCCATTTACCAGTAACATCAACATAATAATATTCACTTTCTTTGTCTTACACTGCTTACAACAGTCTCAGAATATAATACTAACACTGCCATCTATATCCTATATAATAAAGAGGGAATATGCTAATTGGTCCTAATGGTGTCCAAGTCATGACCAGTCAAAGGTGTGCAAGCA